GAGACGTACCTACGAACATCTGTAAGATATGTGATTTTAAGTACATACATGTAATGTTGAGATTCTTTTTTTAGTATAGTTACAACTGTCTTTAAATTTAAAACTAGTACATTTAGGTAGTATAGAATTGTGGATACAAGTATGTACAAACTACATGTAGTAATAGTTTGTACTCCTTCCCATAAACATACATGTACATATCTATACACACCCATGTACATGTATATTAGCGAAGATTCAAGTTTTTGTTTCATATAAAGATTGTCCGACTCGTACCATACTTCGAGTACGACATTTATCATTAGTATCGTCATATTCAGTTTCCAAGCGTTCATTTTTGTGTAAATCGTTGTCATTCTCATTAGTCCATAAAGCGATAAACAGTTCAATATAACCAAATAACAGGTTAGACATGGTGTCGGATCAGGGTCGACCGCTGGTACCACTTGGCTTTCGCTTATTACCGGCGGTCGGTGGACCTGAGCCTGAGTTAACCTTTTTTGTTGTTGTGTTTAGCTCTTCACTTGGGGTTGGTGGGGTCCGGCCTTGTCCTGACTTTTGTCCAGGCGCTTTGTTGGGTACCGAGGACGGTGTCGCGACCTTATTGGATTTGCCCGTTACAACGCGTCTGTTTCCTGTGGACACTTTGATTTGACGACGCTCTTTATGTGCATCACTGTCAGGGATGAGCGTGTCAATATTAGTGTTTTGAGGGAGCGGGCCGTTGTCGGAGCTATGATCACTGTCGTAGTCGTCTTCACGTACGTTTTCATTTTCGTTGGTGTTTATCTCGTCACGGTTCTCGGCTTCGCTGGTAATGCCGTCAGACTGGGGTACCTCAGAGGGTGATGGGCACTCTGATTGTTTGTGTCCGGATTGGTTACACAACCGGCATTTCCAGTCATTTGGACATTGACGAAATGTGTGGCCATCTTGGAGACATTTCGAACAAGTCATGTTGTCTGAAACTACCTGTCCATAGTAGGATACCCTGGCTTTGTATCTGCCAATTTGTACAAATTTTGGGATGTGATTTGTAAGCGTGCGTGAAAGAATCAATAAAGTTCTATCACCCGTTTCACAGTTCGTGAGTTTTCCGTTAATACGGAGCTTCTCTCGGGTGATATTACCTATCGTCTCCAGACCTTTCAAAATAAAGAACCGGTCAATCTGTCCATCGTCCGCAGACAGAGGGATGTCTTTTACTCTGACCTTTGTGGTGTTTTCGTTATCAAAACGGTTTGGGTTGGTTTTAAGGACGCCCATGGTGTGCCCCCTTAGCGGGAAACCCGATGAAAGGAGTTCACATTTATCATCTAGGTTGTCAACGTAGATGCGCCATAACCCTCTAATTCTTTGCAGTCCAATGATATGGGTGGGATCTATAACTTCAGCGAGAACAGTATACATTTCGGGATGGGTTATGAATTCAGAGGGATTCGGTCTCCGTTCCCCGAAAAAGTCACGTTCTCTAAAGAACGCTAATGGCGGTTCCGTGAACAGCTCGCTGATAGGTTCAAATCTGGCGTTATTTTCAAAGTTCGACATTTTGTACTCACAGTTTCGTGTCTTAGTCCTTGATAGTTAGCACACAAAACACATTTGCTGCAACGGTGATGAATAATTCTATGTTTCGATGTAAATCTTCAAATATTTTGAGAGCCGAGTAGAAAAAACCGCCTTGGCAGTTTCGCGCATGCTCAGTTCTCCTTGACAAATTGGCAAATGATATCAGAGATTATAAACTTCATTTATGACATAAGACGCTGTAAATTTACACGGAGATTATCAGGTAAAAAGATCAGGTATTTCATCAAGAATTGCATGTGATTTGCTACATCTTTCAAGTCGTCATTCGATATATTTACTGTCACAGTCGGCATATAGTATAGATATATATAAGCTACGGTCTAGTTTATGATTAAATCATCGTTATAAAGTTTGAAGAAATCAATCGGCTCAGAACGTATCAATGTTAATGTTCAATTCGGCCTCACCTACAGACGACATGTGCGCCTTGATCCGCCGATTTTTACCTTTTTGCCTAGGGCACAAAGCCGTTCATTGGAAAGTTACTTATTATGTTACACCGAAGTATTTCCACATCAACCATGTCAAACCCTTCAAAACCTTTATTATCATCGTAGGTGATGCTTGAGAATAAATGTTTACGTTACACATGTATGGTAAAATTCCGGAAATCAGGTAATATTAAAAACTGAACCGAACCGAAACACGGAAAAACATATCGTAAACCGAACCGAAGCAATTTAGCGCGGTTTTCGGTGCACCGCGGTGTATCGTTACAGCCCTAGTAAGTATTTGGGACCAAAGTTTAAGGGTCAAGGTCTCAATATACGGGGATGCCGTTAGTGTCAGATATAGGTAAGCTTCCTATTTATTGTAGACAGAGTGGTTTACTATTGTTTTGTCATTAATGCAGGTCCAATCAGCTGCCTAAGTGTGGTCTAGGGGAATTGGTGACAAGCTCTGAGGACAGCTCCACAGAGAGTCAGGTAACTCTTATCTTCGTCAGCTTACAGCTGTACTTGTAATTGAGAACATGTTGAGGACGGTGAAACCTGTCTTTGCACTGGAATATCGGACATGGTTTGATAGGTCGAAAACCTTGTTTCTTGTTTTACCCTGGCTTTACTATCTCACTTAACTAATCGACTCAAGTTACCATTGATGTTGGTAAAGCACAATTTCACTGTGTACATTTGGTAGGTATGGTTGTACCAGAGTAACCTACTTTAAAATCTAGGACTAGAGCAAAATGGGAAGTAACAACCATGGCGCTAGAGTTTAATTTAATATAAGTTTTCATTTAAAGGTGATTGGTGATGATTTTTTATTGGTTATGAAATTTTATCTCTATAAATGTATGACTAAAACTGAAGATGGTAAATACTGTTAGCAATAGTCAGCAGTAAAGGGTGAGAATACTATCGTATGTGTATGCAATGGAATGAAATTGTATAGTTTTAATGTAAAAAAAAAAAGATTTGATAGAAAAGAAGAAAAAATTGGTCCAAGACAATCTGGTACCTAGTGTTATAGTGATAGACAACCGTTGGTAGTGATGTCATTGATATTTAAGTCAGTTTGAGTACATTAAGTATAATAGTGATAGACAACCATTGGTAGTGATGTCATTGATATTTAAGTCAGTTTGAGTACATTAAGTGTAATAGTGATTGACAACAATTGGTAGTGATGTCATTGATATTTAAGTCAGTTTGAGTACATCAAGTATAATTGTGATTGACAACCATTGGTAGTGATGTCACTGATATTTAAGTCGGTTTGAGTACATTAAGTATAATTGTGATTGACAACCATTGGTAGTGATGTCACTGATACTTAAGTCGGTTTGAGTACATCAAGTATAATTGTGATTGACAAGCATCGCGCATAATATCAATGGTATTTCTGACAGACGGAGTCCCTAAGTAAACCACTAGTTAGTAGCCAAACCTCCTCAAGGTCATCAACAAGGTCAAATTCTGGAGTCACTACACCTGTCGTCTCACCAAAAAAGTCTCTGAAGAAAGCTAGTCAGTGCTCCGAGATGGCAGTCAGGTATTTGGTCATGTCAGAGCCTGAGACCGCAGTCAATGGCAAGTCATCCTGCTCAAGTTCCATCTCGACGTCACCTGAGAAACCAGTCACTGTGCCCATGATCACCAAAGTTAAACCATCAGGTATACACAGCATCCGCCATATGATGGTCTAACTTTTTCCATAATGAGAACATGTAATTGTTGTAACGTCACTACTAGACTTTATATGTGATGTCACCTCCAACACTGACTGTTTTGATATCTTACTAATACTAATACGTGACATTTTAAAAGTAGGTATATATGCTGATATTTTACACGACTATTACAAGTTTGTCGTTATAATTAATAGAATATTGTGTTTGTTTAAGTTGTGGATGAATATAAGTCAAAATTTGTCCTTAACTACATGGAATGAAACATTTGAAAGTGATGAAAAAGACAAGAGTTCTGAATTTACAAGTCTTTCTTCTCAATCGTTTGGTAAATGCAAATATGATAGTACCTGGCCTGAATCGGAAATACAGGTTGTTATTGAAGGGATTTTGACCTCATTTGGTATGGAGCATACTTGGGCAAAGGGAATTAACATGTTACAGGTAACTAACTTTACTGAGTTCCCTGTGGAAAGGATTTCCCTTTATGTGAAGGTTACTTACTTGGTTAACTTCACTGTGGAAACTTGGTCCCCTATACTGTATATGAAATTGACTTACTTGGCTTACTTCACTTTGGAAATTTGGTCCCTATAAATGAAATTGACTTACTTGGCTTACTTCACTGTGGAAACTTGGTCCCTATAAATGAAATTGACTTACTTGGGTTACTTCACTGTGGAAACTTGGTCCCCTATACTGTATATGAAATTGACTTACTTGGCTTACTTCACTTTGGAAATTTGGTCCCTATAAATGAAATTGACTTACTTGGCTTACTTCACTTTGGAAACTTGGTCCCTATAAATGAAATTGACTTACTTGGCTTACTTCACTGTGGAAACTTGGTCCTTATATATAAAAATTGACTTACTTGGCTTACTTCACTGTGGAAACTTGGTCCTTATATGTAAAAATTGACTTACTTGGCTTACTTCACTGTGGGAACTTGGTCCCTATGTATGAAATTGACTTACTTGGCTTACTTCACTGTGGACACTTGATCCTTATATATGAAATTGACTTACTTCGCTTACTTCACTGTGGAAACTTGGTCCCTATGTATGAAATTGACTTACTTGGCTTACTTCACTATGGAAACTTGATCCTTATATATGAAATTGACTTACTTGGCTTACTTCACTGTGGAAACTTGGTCCCTATATATGAAATTGACTTACTTGGCTTACTTCACTGTGGAAACTTGATCCTTATATATGAAATTGACTTACTTGGCTTATTTCACTATGGAAACTTGGTCCCTATATATGAAATTGACTTACTTGGCTTACTTCACTATGGAAACTTGATCCTTATATATGAAATTGACTTACTTGGCTTACTTCACTGTGGAAACTTGGTCCCTATGTATGAAATTGACTTACTTGGCTTACTTCACTGTGGAAACTTGATCCTTATATATGAAATTAACTTACTTGGCTTACTTCACTGTGGAATCTTGGTCCCTATGTATGAAATTGACTTACTTGGCTTACTTCACTGTGAAAACTTTGTCCTTATATATGAAATTAACTTACTTGGCTTACTTCACTGTGGAAACTTGGTCCCTATATATGAAATTGACTTACTTGGCTTACTTCGCTGTGAAAACTTTGTCCTTATATATGAAATTAACTTACTTGGTTTACTTCACTGTGGAAACTTGGTCCCTATATATGAAATTGCCTTACTGGGCTTACTTCACTGTGGAAACTTCATCCTTATATATGAAATTAACTTACTTGGCTTACTTCACTGTGGAAACTTGGTCCTTATATATGTAATTGACTTACTTGGCTTACTTCACTGTGGAAACTTGGTCCCTATATATGAAATTGACTTACTTGGCTTACTTCACTGTGAAAACTTTGTCCTTATTTATGAAATTAACTTACTTGGTTTACTTCACTGTGGAAACTTGGTCCCTATATATGAAATTGCCTTACTGGACTTACTTCACTGTGGAAACTTTGTCCTTATATATGAAATTAACTTACTTGGCTTAATTCACTGTGGAAACTTGGTCCTTATATATGAAATTAACTTACTTGGTTTACTTCACTGTGGAAACTTGGTCCCTATATATGAAATTGCCTTACTGGGCTTACTTCACTGTGGAAACTTGGTCCTTATGGTAGCAGTGTACAGTAGAAATGGCTTGACCCTAAAGATAAAGGACCTGTCTCAGATAAACATGGATAGTGAAATCAACCTGCACAACACACCTACATATATATACATATTTATAAACTACATTTTGATTTCATTTTGTTTACAAGATTGAATTTTTTTCAAAAACTGTGTCCCCAGACTTGGGACCTGTGAAAACCATGGTTACCACATCAAAAAACACCAAAATATGCCAAAAAACATGATTTAAACCCAAATTTGACCCCTGCGATTAGATATTTTTTTCTGAAAACCTGTCTGAAATTAAATATCGCCTACTAGGCAACAGAAATACTCAAGTTTTAGCATAGGTCATCCTGGTGGATTTTTCACAATATTTACACATGTGCTGAATACAAAAATAGACTAAATGAAAAGCTAGCTTTTGTTATGTAGACACAGATATGTAAATGCCCAAAACTAGTCCGGCGTCAATATTTTGCTTTAAACAACTTCTTCTCAATAACCAAAAGGCCTAGGGTGATGATATTTGGCCAGTAGCATGCTGGGATGAAGGGCTACAAAGTTTGTTCAAATGAATGACCTTGACCCACTTTCAAGGACACAGGGGTCAAATGTCTTAAAATCTTCAAACAACTTCTCAATAACCAAAAGTCCCAGGTTACTGATATTGGGCATGTAGCATGCTGTGATGAAGGGCTACCAAGTTTGTTTGAATGAATGACCTTGACCAACTTTCAAGGTCACAGGGGTCAAATGTCTTAAAATCTTCAAACAACTTCTTCTCAATAACCGAAAGGCCCAAGGAATGATATTTGGCCTGTCGCATGCTGGGATGAAGGGCTACAAAGTTTGTTCAAATGAAAGACCTTGACCCACTTTCAACCTAATGTCCTTGTTCGACATTCAATGTCACAGGCTTCATATGTTTAAATCTTTTAATAGGTTCTTATGAATCAAACACTGATATTCTGCCTGTAGCTGTATTTTAGTCCTTTTTAGCTCACCTGCCCAAAGGGTAAGTGAGCTTATGTTATGGTGCGGCATCCGTCGTCCGTCCGTCCGTCCGTCCGTCCGTCGTCCGTCGTCCGTCTGTCCGGCGTCAACTTTTTGCTTTAAACAACTTCTTCTCAATAACCTAAAGGCCTAGGTAGATGATATTTGGCCAGTAGCATGCTGGGATCAAGGGCTACCAAGTTTGTTCAAATAAATGACCTTGACCCACTTTCAAGGTCACAGGGGTCAAATATGTTTAAATCTTCAAACAACTTCTTCTCAATAACCAAAAGGCCAAGGGTACTGATATTGGGCCTGTAGCATGCTGGGATGAAGGGCTACCAAGTTTGTTCAAATGAATGACCTTGACCCACTTTCAAGGTCACTGGTGTCAGATGTCTTTAAAATCTTCAAACAACTTCTTCTCAATAACCAAATGGCCCAGGGTACTGATATTGGGCCTGTAGCATGCTGGGATGAAGGGCTACCAAGTTTGTTCAAATGAATGACCTTGACCCACTTTCAAGGTCACTGGTGTCAGATGTCTTTAAAATCTTCAAACAACTTCTTCTCAATAACCAAATGGCCCAGGGTACTGATATTGGGCCTGTAGAATGCTGGGATGAAGGGCTACCAAGTTTGTTCAAATGAATGACCTTGACTCACTTTTAAGGTCACTTGTGTCAGATGTCTTCAAAATCTTCAAACAACTTCTTCTCAATAACCAAATGGCTCAGGGTACTGATATTGGGCCTGTAGCATGCTGGGATGAAGGGCTACCAAGTTTGTTCAAATAAATGACCTTGACCAACTTTCAAGGTCACAGGGGTTGAAATATGTTAAAACCTTCAACAACTTCTTCTCAATAACCAAAAGGCCCAGGGTACTGATATTAGGCCTGTAGCATGCTTGGATGAAGGGCTACTAAGTTTGTTCAAATGAATGACCTTGACTAACTTTCAAGGTCATTGGGGTCAGATGTCTTAAATCTTCAAACAGCTTCCTCTCAATAACCAAAAGGCCCAGTGTACTGATATTGGGCCTGTAGCATGCCGGGATGAAGGGCTACCAAGTTTGTTCAAAT